AGTCATTCAGTGATATAAGAAGCAAATATTTTTGCTTATTTCTAATTTTTATTTTTGTATTTGTCTGCAGCTGCTGCTGGGATGTATGCTTATGTTTGGACCCTCGCTCGTTCTAGCTGTTGGCTTTGATGCAGTGTATTTTTCTGAATCTTGTATCTGTTGTGGCAGTTGCTCAATGCTCCAGAAAACTGTAAGGTAGACATTGTCCCAGCCAGGCAGTGAAGGAGTTAATTTGGTTCTTATGTTCACGCAACTCAAGGTACACAAAGTGCTACAGGATGTTTCTCCAGAATAACTGTGTTGGAATGGTTTATTTGGTTTGTGACTGACTCCCTTGCGTCCCTTTGGTAATTGGATGCTGGTGGCCTCTTTCCCAGCTATGGCTGTAGGCTGTTTCCTTTCACTATTAGCCTTCAAACCCAAAACTAGATATCTGGGCCATCAAACCTTGGACTTGCATTGTGTAGGTAATATCCACTTAGAAAAGAAGGACAATGATTCTCACACCTTGATCACGTTCAACAGGAGAATTAGATGACTCTGCAGTATTGCACAGTTGCTTTAACGTGTTCATGATAGAAGGTTAATGAATTTTCAGTTTATGTGCTGATCTTGTAACAGCACTTCTGTGGGTTACCTTATCTTTAAATGTTCTTTCCTGATGATGGCCTCTTGAATTACTTTTTACAGATGTGCTTTCAATCATGGCTCCAGAAAGTGCTGCCCTTAGTCAGCTTGCTTGAATACACGGGTTAGTTCACAGTGAGCTTGCACTCAAGTTTCAGTGCTGTTTAACTTGAAAAGATAAGCTGGTACAAAAAGCTTGAATGCTTGTCAGGTATGTAGAAAGATGTCATTCACGCTCTCATGCAAAGATATGAAGCATGTTATGACACAGGAAATGACCTGATATTGTTATACTGTGCTATATATCTGTAGACTAACATAATTAAAAAAAAAATTGAATGAAATTCTTATCTAAAACCATATTAGAGGACTTCAGTAAAAAAAAAAAATGCGGTTAGAGCTGTTAATTGGTGTGGGTTTTTAACTAACTGCTGCTCTTTATTTCAAAACCTCTTGTTAAATATTATTTTCAGTTGAGGTCAGTTGACATAGCAAAACCATTAACATTTTCAGATGGGTCAATGGTCCATTAACTTGTAATGCATTTTAAGTGAAAATCTGTGCTGCCTGCGTGCTTTTTTTGTGTGTGTGTTTCTTCTGATATGTCTGGGGTGGCAAATAACTCATGGATGTACTGGAAGGAGTCCAGCAGAGTGCTATCAAGATGATCAGGGGAGTGAACACCTGTCCTAGGAGTAGAGGGTGAGGGAGTTGGGACTGTTCAGGTTGAGGAGAGGAGCCTTGGAGAATTACGTCAGTGTCTAAAAGGCCTAAAGGGGCTGGTGCAGGGAAGGTGGAGCCAGGCTCTTTTAAGTGGTGTCCAGCACCAGGAAAAGAGACAGTGGGAACAAACTGAAACACAGGAGGTTCCCTCTGAGCATGAGGCACTTCTGTGCTGTATGGGTAAAATAGCATTGGCACAGGTTCCCCAGAGAGGCTGTAGATTCTCCTCCTTGAAGATTTTCAGAAGCAGCCTGGACATGGGCCTGATCACTGTGCTCTGGATAGCCCTGCTGGAGCAGAGGTTGGAGCAGGTGGACCCAGAGGGCCCTGCCAACCTCAGCCATGCTGTGAGTCTCTGAAGTATCTTTCAGTTCTGGGGAGGTAGGGGTAAAACAGCATGAAACAGATGGGCCTGTTTCTAGTCATCTTCATGGGAACTCAATTTCCAGTGCCGGAAGGTAAACCTGGAGAAGACAAATAAGTGTAATTATTGATTACCAGAGTTAACCTTAGTGAACATGACCACCATACTGCCTTACCGGGTAAAGTTCTTCCAAGAGTAGTAAAGTTTCTTGCACTGAAGTGATGGCTCTTGGGCATCACAGTTCTCCAAGTACTGTGGGCTCAAGCATGCAATGTCAGGGGATCTGTGTTGGACTGGAAGAGAGCCAGAAGATCCTAAGCAAGATTAAGAAGTATGCGTTCCTAAGAGGCATAGATCATCCAAAGTTAAGACTTGGTAATGAATGCTAAGTCTCTCCAGGGTGGCTGCCTTATTATCTTAGTTGCAGGTGAAATACCATGAGTATCTGCAGAGTATTCAGTGCAATTAAGTGTAAAGTATGTTTTTGAAGCAGGCTTGATTTCTGCTGCCAGGTGTTTACCCTCATAAGTGTCATTATGGATGCTTTAAGAGAAATCTGTTTAGTATGGCCCTTATACCAACCAGCACTATGGGTCTGTTAAAAGATTTCAGAATCTGGTACTTCTGAGAGCTGCTTTGGTGTCTGTGGAAGAGGCAACGTGTTAAATCTGAGGTAAGTAGGAGAGTTATGTGACCACTGCACAGTTTCTGAAAATTGGAATCAGTCCAACCTGGATTCATAATAATTTAATGTTTGCAGACTGTGCTGTTAGTGTACCAATGACTCTATGGGCTAGTTACTTTTAGCACTGTATAGTCTAGTATTACATACCATGCAGATTCTTCTTTAGCCTAAGATTGTACACAGCTTTCTTTCATTTCCTTTTAAGAGTGCTTTTTTCTACTAACCTTGCCTGGCACCGAGGACACTTCTTCTTGTTTAAATATGCAAACTGCTCTGTGATCCATCTTGGTATATCAAATCCCAGGGTGTAAAGTTATCATCACTGTTGCTGAAGAGAGATGCTTTAATCAGATTTTTTCAGAATAGGTCTGGTCTGGGATTTAATTTTGTATTTCAGGCTTCAGTAGTTAATTTGCTGTCATGGTAGCAATAGAACGCCTTGTTTTTCTCAGCTGAGAGTTGTCAACCCCATTTGCTAAAGATTACGTTGCATATTTGTGTGTGAGGAAGAGTGATGGTAGGTCAGTATGTAACTGCTGAAGATGTAGAAGTTAAAAGGAACCGTTCTAGAGATAGGTATACATTTTAAGCCTCCAGTTTTGCACATAGCATTCTTATAACAGGAGGAATTAAATTTTACTTTGCAATACTTTTTATGAACGTAAAGGTGAAATTCATAAAGGCTGGGTTTCTAACCAAAGCCAGAGCAGGCTTAACCGTGTTTTAAGGATCTTTGTTTATTTAATATATATTTGTTACAATTAAGCAGCAGAGGAAGACTGAAAAAGTAATACCAGAGGAAACAAGCTTGAAAGTGAAATTGAGTTTTAGCATGCAAACACTGTGCACTGGTCTGCTTATTGTAGAGAATAGACAAAGTATGGTCTTTGTGAGATTGCAGCCACTTGATTTCAAAGCACTGCATACATCTCCAGTCTTTCTTTGGTGACTCAGGTGATTTGGTTACTTGCTGAAGGCAAGAAAGGTGAGATCTGTCACAAATAAGTTGCATCACTGAGGACTGAAACATCATTTTTCTATGAAAGGGGCAGACAAGGTGCTAACCTTCCTGCAGTTCAGAGCTTGTAGTATGTGGTGAGCTATCTCCAATTAGAATTGTAGCCCTAATTCTTAGTTCCTTTGAGAAACTGGGGGGACTGGGGTCAGCTCTAAGTAGTGATTTATTTTGTTGCAGCCACGAGATAAACTGTGTTTTCTAAGACTCCCTTTTTGAATAGTTAAAATCTTTCTACATGTAAACTGTGATTTACCTGCAACATAGGTAAAAGGTGTATTAGTGTATTTCCAGATAGCTGCTTTTTTTACCTTAATACAGTTTTTTTCACTTTATCCAAATTTCTATTTTCTTGGACAGACATGTCCAACAAGTGTATAGGAAACAATCAATATTCCAAGCAGAAATCCCTCACAGGAGTCTTGCTGTAGTGCAGAATTCCACTTAGAATGGAATTATCTCAGCATTGATTTTGTGTATGTGTGTAAAATGGGTGGTTCTCTGGTTTGTTTGAGAGATTGGAATGGAAACTAACAAAATAAAATTGTCCTGGGAACTGGAGTTTAAAAATTTCTAGGTTGTTTTTTATAACTGTGCTTGAAAGGGTAGAAACTATTAAATCTTTTCCTTCTTCAAGAGAAACTACATTTTAAAGAGAGAGCGTGTATACTGAGGTTGTGTGATAATAACAGAAAACTCTTCAATATCTGTAACTAACACAAGATTAGAAGTATTGAAATAAGAGTTGCAGCTCTGAGGAAATCCATAAACTCATGAAAACTAGATTACGTGTGATGGTAAGTTAAAATAACTGAGTAAAAATGGAAAATACATGCATGAAGTGGAAGCTTTCATTCTATTGCAGATTGATGAGATAGGGGTGACATGCTTGAAGTACTTGAAAAGAGAGCTACAGTAGTTGGAAAGCAATTTTTGAAAATGTTTTCATGAGGTTACAGTTGCATGCACATAAATGTTTTAGTGATCAGGCAGTGAGTAGAGTATCAAAGTAGCATGGAGAACTTGATTAAAAATTGACTATTCAGTTTGCTCAAACATGAAAATAAGGAATTGTCATATAAGGCTGAGTGAAGTTCAAACCAGAAAAGTGTTGTTCAGGTGAATGATAGTGGACCTGTACAGCTCCTTGTTAGAGGGCTTCAGTGGGAGTAAGAAACTTATGTTGTCTCAAAGGTGAGCTGAAGTTCTTGGAAGAAATCGATGAAGGCTTCCAAATAATCCGTGTACATCAGGCTCAGGAAAACACCTGAAAGCCTGAAGAACACTTTTTTTTATATACTTGCTTCTGGAAATAGAGATAGAGGGAACTTGTGTCACAAAGGAGGAAGAATCTGAGCTAACAGTTGCACAGAGATCTTGGTCATACACTAGTTCTTTTTTTCTTCTGCACATTTATAAATATAAAATTGAAATGAAATATCGTGATAATGAGAATAGGAAGAAGACCATTTAATTTGGCTTTTGCATTTATATAGCAATGGAAGAACAGATGTTCTGGATAAACTGGTGTTTCTAATTATGTATTACTAATATTCCGTTTTATTTATTGTTCTCTTCTTCATTAGCAAAACCAAATAGGAAGCTGACATTCCTGTACTTGGCCAATGATGTCATACAGAACAGCAAAAGGAAAGGACCGGAATTTACAAAAGACTTTGCTCCAGTAATAGTGGAGGCTTTTAAGCATGTTTCAAGGTAGAGTATGCTGTTATGTGCAGTGCCCTTCATTGTATTTTGGCAGATTAGTTCTCGGTTCAACCATCTGACCCAGGTAGTCCTTGTCTGCTAGTGCTGTACTTGGAAGTCTCATTAATATTACTAGTGTTCTTTTGATCTTGAGTAGTCTTAATGCTGTTAGATAAAGTTATGTAGTAAACTCATCTGTGTTCAATCATTTTTCCCTCAGGAAACTTAGAAGTGCTTTATTTTAAGGTTTTTTATCTGCAATTATATGCTACAGCAATCTGGTATGTCTCATTACTGGTGTTCGTGATGTGTTTTTTTCAGCTGACTATTCTTGTTGTATTAGAACAATGGAGAACTTTGGTACAGAATTATTTTCATATGGTGCTCTAGAGCAGTTCATCAAAAAAGAAGTGCAGCTTTTGTGTAATGGGAATATAGACATAGAATGGATTGAACAAACTAAAATAGAAACGGGATTGGGCACTCAGTTTTTGTTGCTGTTAATGCACTTGCTGAAACGCCTTGAATTGGTCTTTTCTGTAAACTGTGGCTTTGATATTTTCTGACATTATTGAACTTCTCATACTTTAAGGCATACCAAGATCTTTCTGTGAAAGATAATCATACTGTAGTGCAATTGCGATGTATTTTCACCTCATGTTCATTTTTCTTTTTTTCTTGTTACAGTGAGTCTGATGAAAGCTGTAAAAAGCACCTTGGCCGAGTGCTCTCTATCTGGGAAGAAAGGTCTGTTTATGAAAATGATGTATTAGAACAACTTAGGCAAGCTTTGTGTAAGTATTTTGTTTATATATGAAAATTCAGCATCTTGTTTGAGGAGTCAGAGAAATCAAATTTCAGTTTGTTTTCATTTAGATGGAGACAGAAAGGTGAAGAAGCGTACATATGAACAGATAAAAGTTGATGAAAATAACTGTTCACCTCGAAGTTCTCCTACTGACCCTCCACAGGTAAAACAACATTTATAAAATTCTGGTTTTGCATATGGTTTTGTAGATAATTTTTCAGGTGCTCTTATTTTTGGATGGCCTCTGCTTTTCTTTTGAATAACTTCTATGGAGAGAGATGACCACACCCTTTTCTTTAGTGCAAGTGGCTGAACAACATCCCAGTAGCATACGAGATTTCTCCAGTCTATGCTCAACTGTGTTTTATGACCTGTATTAGCTTTGTAAGGAGAAACTGCTGTGATTTTTACCTGTCCATGCAACCTTGAGGTAAAATGAATCTTACTGGCTACATCAGTTTGTTTCCTGACGATACCTCTTGCTGGAAATCTTCGTTCTTCTGTGGAAGTGGTAGCTTAACATTTACATTGATTTTTTTGTTTAGGACTATAAAGGAACTATTGGCTCTGCAACACCTTCTAACATTGAAGTTTCTGAAAAGTAATGAAAAAATTCATCTGTCATTTGCTATCTCTTTGTGAGGTGTAATCCACCAAAGGTGGTGGACTATGTTTAACTTCAAGCCTCATGAAACTTCTTTCTTGAAGGTTACAGTTTAAGACACTGAACGTGCTGTAACTTCAGTAAGATTGACACAAAAAACAAAGAAAATGTATGAACTATATACCCTGCTCTGCCCATTTCAGAATTTTAGCATTAGCTTTGATAGTGTTTTAGGTTCTCTTTTGATTTCTGGTGTGGTAATAAGTAACACATGTAACTGGAATAAGATTTATAGCATTTACCAATGAAATATCTTTCAGTGTTGCAGTCATGATGCTTGAGTAAGGCAAAATAGAAACAAACCTTGCTCTGACTTTTAGAATTTGTGGTGTTTTTTTGTTGTTTTTTTTTTGCTACTGTCCCATTTCAAAAGGTTTTTGTTACAGCAAGGAATGACTCCTGAAATAATCATGATTTAGTATGTTTCTATGTAACAGCTTACTTCCAAAGGAAGTGCATTGGTCTAGTGTGGACTAATGAGACAAAAGTACAAGAAAATAGTTTAAAAAATGTGTATAAAATGAAGGGTACTGTAAAATAATAATTACTGTCAAAAATAGAATATAAGTAGTCCTATGCTAAGGACTTCAATGAAAAATCTGTTTTAGGAAGGTGATCTATAAAACTAAGGAATACTGCAACATTTGTCCAAAGTTTTTTTGTCTGAGAGGGAATAGAGTGTTGATATGGTGCTGATGTCATAAATGCTTTTAAAAACACCATTAAATTGATTCCATAACCTTGTTGTGAAATGCTGTTTTATAGTAGGATTTCTTTATTTAAACGAGTCTTCAATCTTGCATGCTTTTTCAGACCATGGATCTCATTAGAGCATTGCAAGAACTAGAAAATGCTGCTTCTGGGGATGCAGCAGTTCATCAGAGGATAGCTTCTTTGCCCATAGAGGTCCAAGATGTGTCCCTGTTAGACAGGATAACAGGTGAGGGTTGGGGGTCCAGTAACTGAAATGCTCTTATGCAAACTCAGTGAGATAGGATGAAGTCATGCTTTACCTGTTTCTCTCTGCTTGCTTTTAGACAAGGAATCTGGAGAGCAACTTTCCAAAATGGTAGACGATGCATGTATGTTGCTGGCGGATTACAATGGCAGGTTGGCAGCTGAAATAGATGATAGGAAACAGCTAACTCGAATGTTGTCAGACTTTCTACGATGTCAAAAAGAATTTCTTGCAGAGAAGGAACATAAGCTGGAAGTGCGTATTGTTTTGTTTTAGTCTGTTCTTTTGATAAAGCTTGATCTTGCAAATGTTTTTAGCTTGCCTAAACAACTTTTCTCTTCAAAGGTAAATACCAGCTAGATCTTTGTTTCCAGCACTTTCTTAACAAGATTTCTCACATTCTAACTCTATTAAATCAGAAGAACAGTAGGTAATATTACAGTTGTGATCATTTCAGTGTTTGTCTTTGTTTTTTAGCATGTTCAGTCTGTGTGATAAGTAAAGGCTTAGTTTTATTTGTGCAGATAGGAAGTCTTATCTATAGCAGAATGAACTTAATTCTTCACAGAATACAATTTTTCTTGTTCTTCTCATTGTTGTAAGTTTTAACTATGTATTATAGGCTTAATTTCCTTTTTGTGAAGAGGATTGATCTTTCTGATAATTCCGTGTTTGTGAAGTTGCTTACAGAATAAGAATTGAATTACTGGTTTCAACATAACTTTTTAACCTGACTCAAAGATACATTAGTAAAACACTTCTGAGCATCAATTACAGCTGTCTGTCAGCATTTTCAGCTGTAGGGGGCAGTAGAATGGGACAAATAATTAATAAAAGAAGGGTAAAGATTGAAGAGATCAATGTGAATGAATGATCTACTAAGTTATTCCAGTGCTTACTGTTATCAGTCACCAGTTTTCCTTACCTACTGCATAATAACTGCCAAGACTGCTGGTGAATTTTACACCTTTCAGAAATAGATCATAATTTCATGTCTGTTCCTTCCCTAATCCATTATCTGAAATTTGAGATGTAGGTTCAAGCCCTAACCAACCTATTTGGATGTTACAGCAGTAAAATTGAAACTGCATCATTTTGCACGGGGAGGAGGTAGCTGTACAGTTGCAGTATCCTATCCTGTAACCGTAGCATATGCATGTAGTCCTTATGTGGTACACAAATTAATTGCTTTTCAGGTCTCGTGTAACAGGCCTATCGTAAAAGATTTCTTCACATTGTGGTTTCTTTACTGTTTTGTAACATCATAACTTGAACACAAGTTTTGTAGCGTCTTGGTTCAGATGCATCGCGAACAGTATTTTCCTGAAGTTGTCTTTCCTAGAGTACTGTTTCCTGACCTTTGCTCTTGTGCCTCACAGAAAAGCAATTGATGAAGGTTTTTCCTGTCAGCTTCACTGTATTTATCCTTACCTGAGGGAAGAATATCAACCAACTTCATGTAAGATAGATGTTATGCATGATAGTTTTGATTGCAGTAGCAAATATCCAGCTGGTCAACGGAACCTGAAAGAACAGGAAACCTTAAGCTTTTCATCACCTGCTCTATCTTCCATGTGTGTATATAATGTGTTTGAAGGACATAGTCCCACTGTAGTACTTAGGGAGCAATCATCTTCTTTTTGTAGATTGTTACTTGCAATTACACCTATTTAGGTACAGGCTACTGATTTAGTGAATTGCTTGAAAGGTAGTGACTTTAGTCCTTCAGACAAGTTGATACTTCTGTGGAAGCCAACGTTTGATTAATCAAGAATTGCAAATGGAGTGCAGCTTTGAACATGTTTCACTCTTGTTGGAAGTTTTCAACAAATATAAAATGGTTTAACTTCCCAATATTGCTAGGTCAGTGAGTTCATTTAAGAAAAGTAGCTTTAAGAAAAGTAGCTGTAGTTCATAACTAGTACCCGTGCTGTCATGGTCTTCAAACTCAGTTGCTTGGCTGAATTATTTAAATAGCTAAAGAATCTTATTCTAATACAGCACACTTCCAGTTTTGGACTGGTTTCAGTGGCCTTTCCTTACAAAGGGGGAGACAGTAGACTACAATGTCTTTTTTTTAACAAATGAAATGCTAGGGTGTTGAGGTATACTCTAAGAATGTTTTTAGACTGATCATTGTGGTATAAATACAAGTGACTAAAAAAAAAACCACCTGTGAAAAGATAGTGTTATCTCAAGGTGCTAATAAAAGAGCTGAGAGACAGGAAAAACACAACAAATCTTAGGAATCGAACTTCTAAACTTGTGTTGAGGTAAGTGAAGTGACTTCTTTTATACTCGCTACCAGTAGTGCCTTTTTGTTTGTGAACTGCAGGCTGATTAACATTCTGAAGCTTTGAAATGCAAAATCGACATGTCTTCATGATAATGTCCATAGTCAGTGGACTGAATTTCTCTTTTTATGTTCTCTTTAAAGAGTGGATATTTTCTGGTGTAAATATCAATTGCCTGCAGCTAGATGTGTTCATTTTATCAAGCAAGGACTGTATTTTTGCAGTCTTAGGAAGCACCATACCTCATACCGAGCCTTATTTTTTGGCTTGAGATGTGAAATAGCACTGGAAAAAGGGCTTGTTGTCTAGTTGTTTGAGAACATATTTCCTGAACTGTATGTTTCTAGACTTTGACTTCCAAGCTTAATTTCTGGTAAAATTCATGTTCTAGACAAGGATAGTTCTTTTGTTAGTCTTCTGACTATTGACATTCTTTTGAGCATAAAATGCTTTCTGGGTAGTAACATAGGAAGAAATTTAATTCTTGATGAATTAGTATTATCCATCTGTCAGTATTTTTGAAATCCTACCCAATTGCTGTGTCCAACACCCAGTTGTGTTTACAAACAAGTGGTTATATTATTTTTGATTTCTAGAAATGTCACCTGCTGTTGACCTGGTTTAAAAATTAGTATTAGCATTTCCAGAGAACTTTCACTGTCTTAAAACTATGGACTAGAGCTTTTTAGACCTAAATTTGCAGGTCTTTTTGTTAACGTTCCGAAGCAAATTTACAGGTAAGTAACTTGTAATAACCGAACTTTGCATGAATACAGGAAATTTTGACAACAAATAAATACATGGACTGTCATTTCTGCATCAAAAGTTAACCATACTGCTTAGTAGGTGAATTTCATAAAACTACTGTGGGTAAGTAGTATTGTTTTTAACTCTTAAGTCATTTTTCTTTAACATCTGTCTAGCTTCTGTTGCAGGTGGTGGCCATGGACCTATCTTCTAATGATGTCACCATCCCTTAGTATACACATCCTGCTACAAATAAATTTAAGAATCAAAATCTTGTATTGTCTGTTGTTTTTGGAAACTAAAGGGGAGGAATTCTTTAACTGCTCATACTAAACCTCTGTTATTGTCATCTATCTTCTCACAAACATTACTGAATTTGTACCTGATCACAAACAATACTGAATTTAGGCGTGAGATGGATAGTATTTATCAGAGCCATTCTTTTTTCTTGGAGACCAAAGCTTTCACATGGTTGTTCCTAAAATTTGGAAGTTTGGTTAAATCGTTTGAAGTTCCAGATGCAAAAATCTGAGTGTCGCTTGTGTTGAAATCACCTTTACCCAAAGTGAAGTGCTGTGAAAACGGGACTTTCAGACTTCAGCTTTTTAACCTACACCTTTACTTACTGGACTTAGTTGAACATCAGAAGTAAGTGATGGATATAGAACTTATCCATTGCAATCACAGTAAAGAACTTTCATTTTATTGTTGGAAATTATTTTGTATGTAGCAGAAAAGGTGTATTTTACAATTGCTCTTATGCCCCTTCTGGAAACTCCCCCATATTTAGGATTCTTCTAAAGAGATTCTTCCCCTTTTTGTAAGATTTTTTTTTTTTAAACTAAATAAAAAGAAGGTTCAGGGTACTGTAGTTTTATCTGGAAACTTGCGTAAGATTTATAGACAGGTGTTATTATTCCTGAACTTAAAAATGGAAATTCTTGCAGAAAGAGTCTGTAAGAATTTTTTTTTCGGATCTTTGAGGACTAATATTTCTTATTTTTTACTTGTTTGATTCACTCCTCCTTTTCTGCCTCCTTGTTGAGCCCCTGTACTGCCCCTATTGCTTTTCCCTAGTATTTGAACAGAAGTGTTTATTAGTCCATCGATCTCACTGAAGCCTGGGAAGGAGCTATACCAAACTTATGTCTAGGTGCCCTCATTTCCATGTGGTAAAGATTGTCCTATAGACATTCTGAATGTAACATGGCCTTAGAAATACAAGCTGACAGGAGGTCCACTTGATTTACTGTTGCTTTGGTTTTGCATTTTCTACAATCTCATTGATTACAGAGTAGATAGACTCTTACTAAATTTCAAATAAAATCTTTGATAATGCAGAATCTTTTATGACTTACCAGCAAGCATTAGCAGAAGGTAACACTTTTTTTCTAAAAAAAAAAAAAAGAAAAAAAAAGCCACCTCTTCTCTTTTACTGTTTAGAAATACAACATTGCTACACTTAGCATATCCTGGATGACCTAGTTTTGTTTTGTTGTTGTTGTTGTTTTTTTTTTTTTACATAAGGTTTGTAGCTGTTTACACCTTAAATTTGGAAATATTCTTCTCACAAAATCCAAGTTGTTATGGATGAAGTGCTCTGCTGGGAGGCCTCTGTGTTTCAGCAGATTATATTTGATTAAGATGTCTGCTTTTCTTTTCTTGCATTCCTTATTTTATACGTAAACGATATTCACATCCTTACATTCACACATCTGTTTATAATTGTGGTTACTTAGCATATAATATGCTCAATGCATTTTTATTTCACAATTGAGCTTTATAGCTCAGTATAACTTATCTATAACTTGTCTTCTTGGGAAATTTAATTTTGTCGTTGAATTTTATGGGTAAAATGTAGCTTTGGAGTCAAAAGATTTCTTTTGCTCTGTACATTTCCAGGTTAATGGCGAAGAACATTAAGCTAAGAATTTAAGGATATGAGTGGTGTATTATAACAGGCCTTTGGTTTTCAGGCTTTTTTTTTCTTAGTGCAAGACTGTTCTACTGATTTTTTTTCTACTATGGCTTTAGTTAACAGTAGGGGCATCAAAGGATCTTGTGCTTTCTTTTTTTTTCCTCATACTTACTTAGTATCTTTTGTATATAAGCTTGTTTCTTTCTGTGTTAAGTGAACTTAGAATGCCATGTTTAGTCATGTACTTTTCAAATCCACTTGGAATAATTGGGTTTAATTCCTAAACCTTGCAGTTG